GCGGCCCATGCTAGGAGTTGGCCGTGCAGCTCCCGGCCAGCGCACCAGACAGCCGCGGGCACCGGGGAGCCGCGTCCTGGGGGAGAGACAGGAGGGGACCCCCAGCCCGAGTCCGGAGAAGCAGCCTCTGATAGGGCCCAGCCTCTGCCCGAGCCAGTGGCCCTTGGGGAGGCGGAGGGTGCGAGTTCAGGGCGAACTGCTAGGGCGCAGTGGGCAGCAGCACCAGGGAGTGAGTGCGACGGAAGTTCAGACTTCTGCGTGGGAAGAAGCGTCCACGCATCCTCCAGCCGCGGGGCTCTCAGCCCTACGAAGAGGTCGGGGGTTCCAGGCCGCGCACCCCCCCCACACACACACACACACAAGACTGCGGTGGGGAGGGGTCCTGGCAGCCCAAGCCCAGCGCCGCCAGAACGAGGGCGCACTGACACCTGCTGGCCGCTCGTCGTCACGGCTGGGAAGCGACCCGCCCGCCGGGGCGGGCACCTCTCCCAGTTTGTGGTCTTCAGCCTGCACTTTCCTGTCTCGGAGAAGTTGGGTCTAAGCTCAGGAAAGGAGAACCCAGATTTTAAGTTGTACTTCGCTGTGCTGCAGAAATATTCCCAAACAGGTTCTGTACCTCCGGAGGGAGTGGGACTTTGATAAAATCACACCAGGAAGGAAGGGCCGGCAGACACTCCAGACCAGGCCGGATGTCCCACCCTGAACCCCACTGCCTACCGTGCTGCCCCCGCGTATCCAGCTGCCCAGCTCTGAACTCCTGGGAACCTCTGCCTTTGTGGAGGCACAAATACCCTATGAATGCCTCCTAGCAGGGGCTCTGAGGCTCCAAACACACAGCAATGGTAAGGAGGTGGAAATGTTAACTGCCCTGATTGGATCGTTAAGCACTGCATACATGTGTCAAATTATCACACTGTATCCTACAAATTCGTACAATTAAAATATTTTGTACAAAGTTAAATTTTATTCTTGCCCCACCCCATTCACATGCGCACCCCATCGTTCAGTAAGGAGAGGGTGGGCCCCCAGGAAGAGAATATTTTCTCTTTGATAAGCAGTGGGGGTAGGAATAGCAAGTTTTTCCTTGTGTGTTAGATATCCTGTGATAGTTTCCAACAATCACTAGGGTACCAGCTTGCATTGTACATCTGCACTTTTCAGACGAGCAGCGGGTAGTACAAGGAGAAAGCCCAGGAGGTTAGGAAATATCAACAGGAGAGACATGAGAACTAAAGAAAAGTTGTGTTATTGAAGGAACCAATGAACCCAAACGCCTTATGTTGTCATCTAAACCGGAATGCCAAAGGCTAAACGGACACCTCTCTGGGCAGTGAGGTGCAGGCTGTGGTCTTCCTAGGGCTGAGTACTAATGAATGACCTCGAGGTCACCTTCAACTCCAGCCAGGTCTGTTGCCTCCTTGTGATTGTTAATCGATGCTGCTGCTCTTGTTGCAGATGGTCTGGAAGTTTATGCCCTTCAAAGTACAGTGGACCCTCAAGTTACAATCGGCCTGACATACGAATAACTTGGGCTAATTAGGTTAATGGAAGATTCATCTGGCTCTTGTTATCTATAGCATGTTCCTAGGTAAACATCTAGATCTCAGCTATATTGACTTACAACCAACCAGCCCTTGGAACCAATCAAATCTGTATGTTCAGGGTCTACTGTATTTCACAGATACCTCATTTGGCATCACTGTCTTTAAAACCTCTGTCTTTACTTCCTCCACTGTGTTCTGGGGAGCCTTTCTAATCCCTCTTTTTAGACAGTCTCAAGCAAGCTGAAAAGGCAGAATTTCCTCCCTCTGTTGTGTTCATCATTTTATTCCTTCTACTCTGCTCTCTGCTTTGAGTGTTTAGCAAAGGCAGGGATATTATCAGTGGGATCATTTGGAAATGCAACAACACCCAATTCTGCACAGCACAAAAGTTGAAGACCATGGCCATCTAGGGTTCACCATGTTCTCAGAGCTTAGGGGCTGAAGCCAGGTGTGGAGGTGCACACCTATAATCCCAGCACTTGGGAGGCTGAGGCAGGAGGATTGCCTCGAGGCCAGCCTGGGCTACCTGGTAAACTCAAAGCCAGCCTGAATGACATAGCAAGACCTTGTCTCAAAAAAAAAAAAAAAAAAAGACTGCATCTTAGGAAACTGTCACTTACCACGTCCACACTAACTTCCAACACACTGACCACCTTCCTATCTCACGTCAGAAGCAAGGGAGAAAACAAAAGCAAAGTCTACTGTGTTTCCCTTCTTGAAATTTCTGCTTCCGGTTTGTCATTTTGACACCTCTTGTCACATTTCCTAACTGTTCCCAAGCAGCCAATCAGTGTCTTAATTCCTGGGTTTGGAATCTTTCCTCTTAATCTGGAAACGCACCTCTCAAGGAGCCAGGGACCCTGGGGCCGGTGCAGTGGCACGACTGTTAATAAGAACTGGAGCAGCCTTTTGTGGCTCTGCTGTGTGTCGGTCCTGTCCAGGGTTCTCTACAGAGCCACTGCTTCCTACAGAGCTCTTCCTCCTGTCAGAGGTTCCTTCTCGCCAACGGCTCTGCCTCCATAATTTCTCACAGAGCCGTATCTCTGAGCTTTGAAACTCTACATGGACACCATTAATCTTTGCTGGAAGGTTTCATGCTGTGCCGGCTGGGTGAGCCAGAGCCGAGCAGAGAGATCGACAAGGACAGTACCAGACCTGTATACCAGCACCGCCTGGGAAGGTAGATACACTCCCAGTGCCCCACCAGAGAGATTGTGACTCAAGTCCAAGGTGGGACACAGCTGCTGGATTTTAGCAAAGCCCTCCAGGCAACACGGTGTGCCCTTCACTGAAGACCCTACCAGAGAAGTGGTCTCAGGGAGGGTGGGGTGATGGGCAGGCGCTCTCTCCTGGTGGGGCGTGAAGAGTGCCGTTACTTGGCAACTAGCATGAAGTCAACCTGAGCTGGAAAGAACCGGTCCAGGTTGAGAATCACTGTCCAGAGGCTCAGGCCAGCAGGTCTGCAACATCACAGACCTCAGGGACTGAGACAGCTCAAACAGTGGAGTGCAACCGTGGACAGAGGTTGGCTTTGATGGCCTGAGGAGGAACCACCTCCGAGCACACAAATGAGGGCCATTATTTTTCCATTATTAATTTTAAAATACCACTTGCCAGCACTGACCTCATGCCAGGTGCAGTGCTCAGCAGTTCATGTACTCTTTATGTTCCGTGCATGTATGTGTCATACGCTACAGACCAGTGATGGTGAACCTTTTATAATAATAACAAAGCCAGCCGTGGCGTGCATGCCACAGGTTTGCCACCACTACTATATACCATATACTGTTTCTGTAATTCTCAGAATAGCTCTGAACAAAGGCCCGGAGAGGGTAAGTAAATGGCCCAGCTACTGAGTGGTAGAATCAGCCCCCACCCTATGTTTCCTGACGATGATCCCAACGAGCTTTCTCAGCTCCCTACCGCAAGGCTGTGCCCTCTACCTACAGCCAGGGGGAAACTGCAAGGTCCCTGGGTTATCAGAAAAGAGAGCACTGACACATGGGTGAATCCCTGCCAGTCTCTGCCCTCTTGGTCCAGTCGTGGCTATTACAGCAGGTCAGTTTGGGGCAAAATGGGTCTCTTCATTCCAAGAGGTCCTGGAGGTAGTCACAGGCACACACTGCCTGAGACTGGACATTTCCCAAGGACCCGTCTGGTGCAGGGTGAAGACAGCACCAACTGCTTAGGCAATACCTGAACTGCAAAGGCAGCTCTCCCTGTCCTGGGAACCTGCACATTCTTACTGCAGCTTAGGTGCATGCTCTTTTCTTGAGCTGATCTACTCCTCT